TGCAACTATCTCAGCTGATCGAGAAAGTTTGCTTCCATCGCGACAATTTCTCCCCCTTCCCCCTCCTCTCTCTCTCTCTCTCTCTCTCATCGACTTATGCTGTTCACCTGTATGAATTGAAAATATCGACTTTGTAAACTAGTTCAATATTAAGATATAATGGCATTAGAGAAACACGTTTTATTACATATAATGAAAACAATACATATTTTACGAGAAATGAAATTACGTGTGATAGCAGTTTAATATTAATTACTTTATAGAAAGACTAACCTGCTTCCTGGAATGATTATTTTGTTTTTACGGTTAATAAATGGTCAAACGATAATAAGATAAAGAAGTTCGTTTTGCTAAAGAAGAGATACAGAATTATAGAATCTATCCTTTTTATGTGTGTTCCGAATTTACTGCATTACTTCTTCCCCCTCTTTCCTTTCCTCCCTTTCACTCCTCTGTTTATCTAGATAAAACATGAATCACTTTAAGAGAGCGATAACGATTACACGTGTAGACTACCGATATGTAACTCTTGGTTAGAGGATCGATAACGATTGTTATTTTTGTGAACTTCGCAGTTTCAATTGCGATAGTAGTATCATTCTTTTTTCGTAACGTCTAAAAATATTCGTAGAGAATTAAATAAAAATTAAAATTTTTGCTATTTCGATTTCAACATCGCGAGAAATGCGGTGGTAAAAAGCATTGCTGTGTATTTCGAAGCATTCACTTGTAAATGTTTATTCATATTAACATTCGCTAAATATCAAGAAACAAAATCATTTAAATTTTTGTTTCCTTTAATGTATGAGTGATTAACTGTGTTTTAGAAGAAATTTAAATTTGCTGTCGCTTCACATACTTTTGAGAAGCTACATATTTTTACAAATCTTGATAATCTATTGATATCACATAATATAAAAATAAGAACTTTAAAGTACACGTGACACATTTATTAGTATTTTTAATGCCTTACATGCCCGAGCAGAAATTAATCTAGCCGATCTGATTTACTATCTAGCCACTAGACAGCATTAACTAAATAAGATTTCTAACTCGTCACTGGATAGTCACTAGCTAATATTTCGTAATATCAATAAATTTGTCTAGTGACTGCCTAGTACGATGTTACACCTACATCTTATTTACTAGGCAGCCACTAGACAGATTTCTTGACATGAAAAAATCTGTCTAGTGACTGCCTAATAATTAAGATGTAAGTGTTATATCATAATTACTAGGCAGTCACTAGACAGATTTTTTCATGTCAAGAAATCTGTCTAATGGCTGCCTAGTAAATAAGATGTAGGTGTAACATCGTAATTACTACACAGATTTATTGATATTACGAAATATACAGCTAGTTAGAAAACCTATCTAGTCGGTATTCTATCTAGTTACTAGGTATTAAATCATATTTGTGCTGAATAACATATATAGACAATTCGAAACATCTCTATCGACAAGGTAACAGTGGAACAGTACGTTAGATGAGTGACTCAGAAGCCTGGACCAGCCTAGACTGTGGATAGAATCACGAGTTCAAATCCCATCAGATGTTAAAAGTTTTTTCCTAGGTATTAGTGGCCCGTTCAGCATTTAAAGAGGACACTACAAAAGGTGGAGAGGAAATATAATTAATAAAAATTATCTCTAGAAATTAGGTAGAAAATATAATTTAAAAAAATCTAATCGAAAAAATGTTCTTTTTTCCTATTTAGTTGCTGTCTAGTGTAGGATAGACAGCTACTAGATAATTTTTCTTATACAGCTGCTAGGAGAATATTACTATCTAGTATCTAGTTATGATTTTCCACTGTGTAACATTTTATGACTAACTATTAGCTAATTTTTCTTGTACAGCTACTAGGAGAAGTGAGTGTTACATAACTAGCTAGTAACTAGCCAGAAATACTAGACAGCAATTATCTAAGACATAACTTTTCTATCTCATGACTAGCTAGCCATGAGGTTTAATTTCTGCTCGGATGTGTCTTCAAAAATTTATACCGAATGATATCGATTAATTATTTATTATATTATTATTAGTGATAATAATCCCTCTTTACTCATCTAAATTATGTTTTAACTTTTTAATTTATTATTATTTGGTAATAAGTAATAACAATTACATTATTATATGATAATAAATAATAACAATTACATTATTATATGATAATAAGTAATAACAATTACCTATAGGTACTATTATTACTTATTACCAAAACAAATATATGACTTTCCCCAAAAACGGCTATAATTTTATACAATCATATATTCTTTTTGACATATAGAACTATAATAAACATAATTATATTATTACTAATGTTATAGCAGTAATAAAAATGAAATTCCATCCTATAATTCTTTCTAATCATAATCATTAATACAAAAAACTTTTTCTCTCAGGACACATAATCTTATTACACTATCAATATCGGCATTACACATAAGTCTTATATATATTGTATATATATATATATGTATATATATATTCCAGATATAAATAAATCGCAATTATTATTCGTATTGGTTTATTGTAAAATTATGACTGTACATAATTTTTTGGAGCAGTTCACATGACTCTGCAATGGCAGTAATGCGTAAAAGTAACAACTCTATACTTCATAAGGAAATTATTTAAATTAATAAAGCAAACAAGATTTTCATATTTTTAGGGATACGAAAAAATAATAAATTTATATTTCTTTTTGTTTATAATAATTACTATTATTAATTTTATTTAATAATTGTATAGATTAATAATGTTGATTCTCATCATTCACATTAAATAAAGTCAGAAAAAAACTGATCACATATCGCGTAACATGAGGTTACTTTATTCAGTATTGTACAATGACAATATATTAATTTTTATGACTGGATAACAACTCTTTCGTCGACCATTGCAGTGTGACATTTGCTCTTTGCATTTTTTATGACGGCGATGTGAACAATTTGTGTCACTTGGGAGCGAATCTATGGCCTAGCATGTATAAATAGACACTAGAAAAATATACATGGCCGATAAATATTTCTTTATACTCTATTTCTTTACACTCTATAGTATGAATCGTAAAACAGTAACAATGTTATAAGCCAAGAAAATACTCTCGCGATACAAAATACAGTTTTTTTGTATAACATCTCACTTTCGATTTTCACGAAACTTAATAAGAACTATGTCCAAAAGTAAATTGATTGACAATTTTATCGTGTACCTGTGAGGCTTAAAAAATATTGTAATAATACGCGAACTTTACAAAGCTATACGCAAAGGGAAGTTGCTGGCCCACCGGAAATAGCATGTCGTGAATGGTCAGCACAAAATCCTCCTCTTTTCACAATTTTTTTCACTGCCCAAGCGCGGTTTTTACGAGCGATCGTTCGTCGACCTTTTTATTCTGGACTTATAAAAGAGCCCCGCGGCGAACCGAAGATACGCAACGCTTCTGGGATTTGACGGGCAATCTCGCGTTATCCGTCCCCGGCCAATGAAATACATTTGCATGGTGACAAATGTCCCTATGCACTTGCGGGAATCGACTCGTGTGACGTGACAGAGTTAATATCGAATGTAAAATTTTATGTCTCTCGATTTCTTCCGTTGAATAGAATTCGGGTCTTTTGTTTCAACGCGACGTAAAACTTATACGAGAATCACCATAGTATGGATAATTAAAATATATTAGAAATACGCAATGTGTCAAAGTTATAGTACATGTTCTATATTCCTCCTCTTTCGTGTTTCCATAATATGATGTCACATGTTACAAGCTATACGCTCTTATTTGCATCGTGATATAACAATCTCAGATTTTCGTAGGAAAATGTGTTGGTTAAGGCTTGTCAGCGACAGCAGGAGGTAAACTCGAAAGAAGCTGCTCGCGACAGTAGACGGGCGTTTACTGTTTTTTTCTTTTATTTTAGGAAGTATAAAGAGAAGAATATCTCGGAAAGATCATTGTAGTTCGCCATTGTATTAACATTGCACCACGTCGTACCTATTTCTTAATCTTTTCGCGGAGGAGAAACTCATTTGAAAATTATGTAATTTACAGCAGAAATTTAGAAACGTTTCTAGTCTCGTAGATTTTAATGCCATCAGTCGCTCATGTCGAATGCGAATAATTGTGTAATGAACATCCGATAAGGGTGCCGCAAGTGCAATGTTAACTGTGCGATATGCTAATCGGCAAAATAGACTTTGCTATTGTAAGAACACCTGGCACAGTGTCAGCTTACCTCTGTCGAGGTGACGACGAAATGTTTCTATTTCGCTGTCGTATACGCGAACGAGGGTGCGCCACAAAGATACGGAGAAGGGCAATGAACTGACGCATCGCGTGTCCAAAAAGGCCACGCCGCATTATGATGGCGGCGAAGTTTATCTATTGCTGTACGTGTATTCGTAAATGTATTTCTATTACGAAAATGTTTGGTTTCAATAAAAATGCTAACAGACTCAAGTATCATAATTAATGTAACGTACTATTAACAAAAGTAAAATATTACTGTCACGCGCAAGTGCGTGTGTCTAGTTATGAATATATCTTGATTAAAAAATGTTTCATGATGTTCAAATGTAAAGGAACTTTGATATTATCATTATATAAATATTATATATTGCTCTCTAATGAAATCAAAATATAATAAAAGAATCGACGCAAACAAATTGTTATACAAATAACTTTTTGTTATATATACATAACATCTAATTTCATTATAATGATAATGATGCGAGCTCACGTTAAGAAAATAAATTCACTCGAAAAGCATTTACTCCTCTGAGATTTAATTTGTTTCTAAAATGTCAAACATTAATTTTTTAATTATATAATACAAACGTCGGAACGATTCAACTTTGAAGTTCAAAGTATATAATTAAAGAAATAAACAACGTCAAGAGGAGCTATGAAATTCAAACGAACGACACGCCCGAGTCGCAGACGGGCAGACCTTAGAATCTCTCGTGATTCCTGGATGTCTCTGGAAGCACTCACCTTGTTTCCATACCAGAATCCGCAAGGATGTCACGCTGCGCGCCGTACGCAAAACGATGTTCCGTGGAAGGCGGTGGCGCAGGACGTGTCCGCGGCGCTCCTTCAAAGTGTCGCCGACGCTGACGGTGTTGTTGATAGTGATGCGGTTGTTGATGTTGCTGCTGCTGCTGCTGGTGATGATGATGAATGACTGACGGATTAATCTGGATGCGGTGAATCGCGCCTGGCACCCTCCAGCAGAGCACATATGGAATCACGAAGTCAGGCTTGACCTGCACCAGCGGCAGCAGGCGATATTCGATCTCGCGTGGATTAAAGGACACCAATCGCCTGTTCGTATTACTGCTCGACCCGCGCACCAAAAGACGACCCTCTCCACGGAGGACGTTGTAGTTGCGCCAGCCAAGGTCACGGGGTAACATGTCACGAGGACATCCCTGCCAACTACGAACTACCGGCTCCTTGTGCGTCTCGCCATAATGTCAAGGATGTTCCTCTCGTTTTTCGCAGGATCTTTAAAGATCGTAAATTTGTTTTATGCGACGATATCCTATTAATATCACTTGATCAATCGAGAAGATGACTGTCCATTGCCATAAATAGAGGATTCCTTTCGCTTACGATAAGATATATCGTATAATTGGGCAAAGAGGAAATTGAGCAGAAGACTGCTACGAGATGCTTGCTTGTGATTACATAGGCAGCCTGTTTAAATTCACTTGGCAATCGATAGGAGCTTCGTGCATTCGCTGTGTACTCGCTGCCACTGAGAGACGAGGCACTTTGTCGCACACAGGAATATCCGCGATAACGAAGCAATGCGAATCTTCTAAGGGCAAGTCTCGATTTATTGTTTTTTTTTTTTTTCGGATCGTGGATTCGATTAAGGATTTAACGTATTCGCTCGCGAATAATGCCGGGCGTACCAGACGGGCGAGACTGGACTCGGGAGCGTCATCCTCGAGCGGCAAGCGCGTGTGCTTGCGAGGAAATTCGGGATCACTGGGAGGACCGGGAGGGCGGCGAGACAGGCGCCCGGCACTCCCTTCTCGCGCGACAGCACTCCGACCTTAGCATCGACTTCCACGACCGGAGCCGAACAGTGCGAGAGCGAACGAACCCAACGAACGAACGGACGTAGAACGAAAGGCGAGAGAGGAACGCAGCCCCCAAGGATCTCCGCAGCGCGCCACGAATTTCAAACTGGGCTGCGCGCGCAATTTACGTGCCTCAGGGCTGTCTCAAAGAAAGACCATTGCGAGAGGGGTGTCGGCCGGCATGCGAAAATGACTTCTGATGTCTCTTCGATTACCTTTCGATTTTTCCATTGAATTTTCCAAACGATCTTGTGAATATTAAAGATATATGTGGTATTTGTAGTAAACTCACTGTAATCTTGAAAAATAATTAATATTGGCAACATGGTGATTATTATTAATTAATTTTGTAAATAAATAATAAATTAGATATGTTGTAACCGTCTATAGACGGTTACATATATACGGTTATCGACATATATGTCGATATTATTAGCTTCTCTACGAATTTGGCGACTTGAATAATTTTTTAATATTTTTAAAATAAATATTATAGAAGAAGATAAAGAATATTGTCGTTCAGTCAGATTTAGAAGTTTTAGATTACAATCGCACAGCAAACAAGCAATAAGATATATCCCACGGCATTTATATTTATTACCTACTGCAGCGATTACACAATCGAGTACTGATATCGAGTTGAATCCACGACGTGAAACAATATTCAATTAGAAAACGCCAATCGTACCTGATATTAGTAAATATCGGTAAAAGTTTAAATCGGTAATTGTTTAATGTATCATTCAAAAGATATTTAACTTGATCTCACAATAAACGCTTTATCACCTAAGCGACGGGATAATTAAATGACTCGGTCTGCCAAGACATTAAAAGAAACTGCCAAGTCGAGAGACGATAAAACCGCGTACAGCTAGTAGCTGATGTCGATTTAACAAGTGTCTAAATGCCAGTTCAGAAGTCATCGTCTTTCGCCGACGAAGATTAAAAATTTCTTATTAGTTATTATTGCAAGAGACTTCCAGTAGAAAGCTCGTTGAGCCTGTATTAGATTATAGATTAGAGATTGAGGAGATTGCGAGTTGGAGATTAGAATTCAACCAATTAGAACAAAATAGATTAAAATTAAAATTATGATTGATCGAATTTTAATCTTCAATTTTCAATCTCTTATGCGTAGTCTGATATGGGCTTTAGATGAAACGCGTACGCAGGTGAGAGGCGGCCTTCTTTCACAGATTCCCCTCTTTCTTTATCGCTTGTTTTTATCGGTTGCAATCGTGTCATCACCGTTATTATGACTCCACCGACACTTAATACCGCACGTTTTTGTTGCGTACGTTTTTATTTTACGTCTACGCTTTTCACGCGAATGCAATCGATCCGGGACGTAGATATGGCAATTTTCCATTGCTATTACAAGACATTAAAGCGATGTTGAAAAAGATATACAAAGAAGGTAATTTGTTCAATCTCTGTTTGTAAAATAGATGGTATTGTTCAGATAATTTTAGTTCGCTATAAATCTGTGTAAAAAAAAGGCTAAAATTTTGATCTTTAATTTCCAATGTTTTCATGTTTTCAGAAGATTGTAAAATCAAAGGTGAAGGGAAAAGATATTCTATAAAATTGTTGGACGCTGATTTATAAAGGATTTAAAAATTCGAGTTAATTATAAACATTATTAACCATAAACATTACTATAACTTAAGAGTACTTAATAATTTACTGAAGATCAATATTGCTTTTCAGATATGGAAATAGTATGTACAATATTAATTTCACGACGATTTTCGATCGGCCGGTTGCAATTGCCGTTTAATCAGCATCGGTAGCGCCGCTAATGAGCACGAATCAGCCATGAAATCTCGATTATACGGTTATGCGTATCCGCGGTGCCGTTAGCCCGATATCTTTCCGCCCGGAATGACACTGCACCTGCACTGGACGCCGCGGTCAAAACACTTGAAAATTCCGCAGGGGAGGGTCGGAGAGGTTAAACGATCGCGAAGGTCGTTTGCACCTGCTTGCATCGACCCTCTCGCCATGCAACTCCCGCAGGTGCATTGGAGACGCATCAAGGACGCCTCGTGGTTTAACGAGTTATTTTTGTTCCTGTTTCGTATAATATCGTCAAGAAATACACACATCGTTTTCATAAGATTTGTATACCAGCAATGTAGGAATATGTTCAATAACTATACATAGGCTTTCCCTTTGATGGCACAGTCGACGCAAGTACTGTTCTATCTTTGTTATCTTAAATATCAAAAAGGATAGAATGACGTTTATGTCGACTGCAATGTCTTTAAAAGGAAAGCAGAGAGATATTAAAATTGGAAACGATTTTTTTCTCGATGACAATTTGATTTTTACATTTTCTCGCAGAAAGTTTCTAAGATTTCATATAAAATATTCGTGGCCGACATAATAATCTCGATGGAATATGCACTACATAGTAGCCCTGATTAAACTGAAATGCGAGTATCAAGTATCGCTTCACAATATCACGTACGCCATTAATCAGCTTTCGATAATATTAGATATATATATGTATATGTATAAACATATATATATATGCATAGTATACTAGGTTTAATTAACCGCTTAATTGATTAATGCATTAATCAAGACAGAATTATACATAGCTTACGGAACGTTGCGTTGTAATTCTCATCGAGTAATATTTATTTATTTGTTCATCGGTTAATAAATATCCATACCAACTTAAATGTCGATGCATGCAATTGTCATATTATCTACTGTATTTGTCATTAAATATCCCCAACAGGATTAAACACGATTGAGCAAAGCGACATATACAGCTGTTAATTTTTCGACCTAACGTTCTCCCTTCTCGCGGAGAAAAGATAGAAACACGCTAAATGAATCAAGACGTCAGCTTCTTTAATTTTTCTCTCACAAGAAACATAGATCAATCATACTAAGAATGATTAAGGCCACGTGCGCCTGTAATTCTACAAAAAATCAAAAATAGTCATATAACTATAAAATAAATTTTTTGGAGGTGTTCTGAGTTAGGGTGTTCAAAACATCCCCTAAAAAAATTTAATTTTACAGTTGGAAGATGAAGTCCTACAACTGCATATCTTTAAATCACCTATCTATTTAGAAATTAAAGCGTTTATATCCTTTAACCGCACGGATATTACAAAGAAATTCATCCTCAAGGAATATAAAACTAATTTTCTTTAAGAGTAAATCAATTAATCTTGTTATTGTAAAGTCTTGATAAAGATAAAAGACGTTTACATAATTTTTATCTGGAAAAAGATTACAATATAATAAAATATTATATTTCTAGATATATTTAATTAAAAAATCAGTTTGAATATATTTAATATATAAAAGTTATAAAAATAATATATACGTTGTTATAATATATCACATTGCGAGTTTCGTGTTTCACACATCAGTGATCCCGGTGAACAAAAACTCACGATTCGCAGATACAGCGGCGGGATGTGCTGCACTGACCTTCATTGGCGATCGGAAAAGCGATCGATCATATCGTTGCAAAAGATCGAGAGTATCTCCCTTGTCCGGCAATGCGAATTTGATCGGCGCTGGATCGCAGGCAGTTCGTAATTATCGGTTATGGTAAGGAACTAATTGGCAAGAAGATCGCGGCAGTCGATAGCGATCCCGAGTCAGAATCGTGATCGGTACACGATCGCGGGCGCCCTTTCCAATGCCGGGCGCGCGAGCCGTGGCACGCGGGGACGATTTTCAATTATTGCCACGGTAAAATGTACGCGGTCGCGGCAGCCGTTTATTACTGACGGTCGGCATTCTCCATGTTCCAACGTACAAATAAATTTCTACCGATTGCAACCGGTAATGCGCGGCGTCCGCCTGGTGATGGGGCAATAATTATGCACGGCGATATCGTCGGTTGATAATTTATCGCGGGTTAATTTGGCATGCATTTCTTCGGAAAGGTACTTGCAAGTGTACGCATGCACGACCTGCATGTCGAATCTTGATACGGCGGCATCAATCGACGTCTCGGTATCGGAGTGAATCGATTTTTCAGTTGCCGTTAGCGTAGTGGAATAGAGTTATTGCGAGTAATTTGTCAACAAGAACGATGTTAACTCCGTACCTTTCTCTTATGCAGACTCGTGTTAGCGAAATTGATTTGTTTTGCATTAATTACGTTGACGTAAAATGCACGAAATAGACGTAGAAAAAATTAATCTTGAACAAATAAACACAAATGTTCAATTATCCGTAAAAGCTAATTTTCTCGCTTTTGTATCGATCTTCTTTATAAAAGCATATCTAGAACTATGAACAAACATTCAAATTAACATTTAAATTACTGTATGCCATCGTTATAACGAAGGAAGTTCATGAAATAATACTATTCATAAGGCTTTCTGAAAAATTTTATCAATAACTTGCACACAATGCCGTCCCTCACGTACGAAAAATATTTCCAAACATTCAGCTAATTTATTTCGCCGTTGCAACTCGTACATTGTACGAAGTAACTTATGCGCTGATAAAATCAATCAGGTTTTCGCCGCAAGTCACATACGTATAATAAAAGTCAGAAATAATAATAAAAAAAAAGAAATTACGATAAAAGCAAGATAATACTAATACGTCTTCATTAACTATCTACCATTATTTCTGCTTCAGACCGACCCTGTATAACGAAATTAATGTTAATTATCGTATAAATAGAACGCGTCGTGGCGCGTATGTAATTACGGTTTTAACTAAATTTCGATGAGATAGATAACGCGAGTACACGGCATGCGTGATAGAAGCATGCATATGGTTTGTAAATGGTTCCCGTTAGAAACGCGCGGTCGATTCTATGGTAACAACGCCGGCAATACGATAAATGCTCTATAACGCACAGGCCCAACCCCTTTGACATTTACCAGCCGGGACAAAATTCAAGGGTTACATTATGTAGCGCGTACGTCAATGAACCTCAAGTGTATTCTAACGCCCGTTTCTCGCGTTTCCCGGTTTTCCGCGACGTTAACAGATTCTTAAACATGCTCGTGGAAATTCTAGAAATACTTTCTCTCGAGTGTGTTTCGCAAAGTTCGCTACCGTAATTACGCTAAACTGC